TGAACATTCCTCAGCCCATGCACTCGGGCAATACCATCGCCAATACTTAAGACACGTCCGGTCTCTTCAAGGTCAACAGAGGTATCAGCTCCAAGAATACGTTCTTCAAGAATAGAGGACACCTCAGCAGTGCCTATTGAGAGAGGACAATTTCATTACAAAAGTAATCTGGTCCCCAAAATCTTTTCAAAACCTATTTTCCCGACAACATAAAAATTCGTTTTGTGCTAATAATCTAATCACACTCTAAAATGTAATATACATGGTCTATTCAAAAAGCTTGATACCTACCCACTATGAAAATGAACCCAAGTGATTGAGAGAAAACTCCATAAGACAAATGTAAACCAGGTAAGAAGCTAATAAAATTAAGCAATACCCCTAAAATAAGTATTTTCTATGTTCCACTACTGTGGTTCCTAAGCTTACCTCCTCACTTCTCTATCATTCATAGATTAGCAGCTATTACCTTTGAAAACAGATAAAAATTGTTTTTCTTAACTTTTTTAAGAGGAAAAAATCTTTCACAGATCAGAAAGTATGCCCACCACTTGATATGTACACACTGTTTACACTCAAGAGGACATTATCAGGACAAAGCTGTATGAACATCAAAGGAGAAATATATAACTGTAGTTCATTTCACTAGAACAAGCAAACCTACCAAGACAAAGCTAAATGGCACATTATGGGTTAAGAATTTGAGATTCTGTAGTAACTAAAATTGAGGAGGAAAATGAACCAATAAGTAAATAACTGCAACAACTATGTCACTGATTTTTCATTTAACAAGAAGGTAGTGTAGTGCAGCCTTAGAAATAATGACTTACCAGTCTTCTGAAGATGAGTGTTAGAGGCATGGAGGTTCCTTGCAGCAATGAAAGATGATCCCAAAGCATTTTTGGAGACCTCGGGAAAAGTATATTTTTTAAAATCCGATCTTTAAAAAAGCCTTTATAAAACCAGCAAGCTTAAAGGCAGGCTTAGTTTGATCAAATTATCAGTAAAAAAAATTATATTCAAAAGTTTGCTTAAAATTGGAAGAGTATTGATTACATTAAAAAATATCCTTTGATATATGTGAAAACCTATTGTGCGGTTCCTGGTATACTTAAGTACTGGCAACAGTTAACAAAGCATCTTTCCCTTTAAAGGCATCTGCTAATATTATTTTGACTATAGTTATGGCAATTGTCAATAAGATAAACTGCTACCTAAAGGGGCAAATCTCAATAGATTCCCTACTAAGAAAAACAAAAAATCAAGCAAACAAAAGAGCTGTAAATGTTGGAGGTTTGATTAGAAACTAAGAGGTATGGCAAATGTATTTTTTTTTTTTTTTTTTTTTTCTTCCGTCCACAATTCAACCTTTAACAGACACTGTATATACTTTTATCTTATTTAATTGTCACAATAACCCTAACTGCCGTCGATAAAGCATGCAGCAATCTGGACCATTCCTTCTTCAAATTTTAATGCTGTGACTGGTCACAGTCCATTCTGAAGCTTCTATAGGACCCAAATGAAAATCGTTAAATATGCTTTTTGGGTTTTTTTGCTAACAGAAATCCAAGATGCTACCAGCGGTTCTGTTAGGCCAGTATGCATATTTCACCTTTCAAAATCAGACTACTTCTAAGATGGCCAAAAAAAATGTTAATGTAAAAGCACTACACAGTACTTAAGGGTTGTGTTCTTAATTTTAAGGGAGATAAGTAATGAAGGACATTGATCTTTAAAGGTATTTGCCAACTACGTTCTATTTTCCTTGAGTTCGCAATCACTGCCTAACAATTCCTCAGGGACAAAAATCTTAAACATATCAAAGCATCACAAAGTCTTCTTTCTGCCAGACCGAGACGATGACAAGCCAGCTTCACTGCTGTCACAGTATCGGCCACATGAAATGCATATTTGTACCTGTTCGGTGTTTTCACAATCGTTTCACTAATCAACACTAAGAAGGTGCGTAAGGTATCCAGAAAACCACCTTCATTGATTGCTTTCCTTTGAACCGACCTCCGAGCAGAGGTTAAATGCGGGGCCTGCTGACCTTCATACAATGTCAGGCTTTCCCAGCTCGCTCTGACCTTCAGCGAGGGAATCCCGGGGAAATCAGGGAGGCCGAGCCTTGCCGTTTCAGAGCAGGCCAGCGACGGCAAGCGCCCAAACCCTGACCTTCACCCAAGGCCCCCTCGTGGGCCGCTCCCAGCAGAAGAGGGAATCCTCCTGAGGCTATATCTCTGGTCAGCATCAAGGTCATTGTCTCCTCTGCAGCACTCTGCACCACCCCACACAAAGGGAAAGCAAAAAGGCTCTTCCGCCGCCCGCCCTGTCTGCCAGAGCAATCAGCGCTGCAAGATGGCGGCGCCTGCTACAGTCTCTCTCCCTTCTTGCAGAAACAGCTTCCTAATCACCACACCAGCACCCATCCGCTTGCAGAAAGAGCTCCCGAATCAGCACACCACCACCCACGGGGCCACCTCCAGCCCACCGGTTCCTGGCGCTCACCAGCCCGGCCCGTCGAGGGAGGGCGCGGGCCACGGCTGCGGCGACGCGCACAGACAGCATCTTTGCAGATATTCTTCGGGTGCTTCCTCTGCAGCCGCAGCCTCGGGACTGACTGGAACAAAATGGCCGAGCGGCGAGGAAGGTCAAAGCAGCCGGCCCACCTGACCCGGAAGTACCGCCCCTAGCTTTCACCTCCGGACGAAAATCTGCCTTTTGCAGGGAGTGGGGGCGGTTACTTTTTTTTTTTTTTAAGTATCATTTTCAGATTTAAACTTCAAAATGAGTGGTTAGACCTTTGCCAGCTTCGGCCCAGGCATTCACTACAGATTTACTTTGGTCTTTCGAGTTGACTTTGTGGTTGCCCGGGGCGACCGCTTGGGTAGCGGAACCCGCTAAGTAGCAGTGCCCAGGCCCCAATCCGGTTGCAAGGGGATGTTGGCGTCACCGCGTACCCAGACGAGGCTCGCTTCATGGTGATGCCGGTCGATAGTGTCCGCTCCGAAGCTACAGCTACTAAACATTGGAGCCGTAACAATAGTAAACAGTTACCCGCCCCCTAGGCGTGTCTACCGCAGAGCGCTTTCTGCCCAGCGGATTGATGCTCACGTGGCGAGATTTAAACCCAGACTCTGAGTCGAAATTTGGACCTGTCTGAATTTTGACAAGCACTCACACCATACGAACCTAAATTGGAGAATCGCAATTCTTTCAGGTTCTACCTAATTGTGAATTAGGGCAAATTGTTTAAAAACTGTAACAGGACAAGGAGTTCAAGTAAGAGTGGTTGGCAATCCTCCTGAGAATGGTCCAGAATCAGTACAGCTGTCTCTCTCCAGATTGGACTAGGGCTCAAGTTGTCCTCTACCAGCAACTAGTTTCATGATAGTAGGGATTCTACTTTTCCATGTGGAGTAAAACGGAAATGATGAAAATAACTTTCTGTACCGACCCGGTAAGATTGGAGGGAGACTTTTTTCTCAGAATTTTTGTGGTCCTCAGATTTTTGTGACATGTACAGAATGGGGGGGAGGGGCGTGTTTGGTATTTTGCGATAATGGAGACTATTAAGGTAACTTCGTTTGTAATTCTTCTGAGAAGCATCTTTCAGCTTCCTCCACCAAATTCGAACTTGCACCCAAAATCTTAATGGGGTGGGGCGGAAGGGCATATGAATATCTTGAGTTAAAAAGGTCATCTCCTAAAATAGTTTGCAAATGTATGGTCAGCAATCCCTTTCTTTAATATTCTGCCTTTCAGGGTGAGCCATAGGTAAGTAAATACGACAGTCCTTCTGGGATTCGATCTGGTATGAATAGTTAGGAAGAGGTAGGTAGGAATAGGAAAAATATTGGTTTATAAAGACAACAAGATTGCAGGGATAGTTTGTAAAATTATAGTGATTAATGTAGATAAAGGGCATAAAGATAACTTTTTCCCCTGTATTCAGGGCTGTACCAACTTATATGAAATTTGATTACTAAGCAGATATATTTGAAACTATCAGAAAGCTATACAATATGGTATTGACTAGTTAATAAAATTCCTTTGAAAATAATCATTTCAAATATGCATACGACTTAGGAGAAACATATTTGGTGCTAAGTCTGACCCACAGTTTAAACTACACATCACAGAAAGTCGAGTACTTTTCCTAGTATAACACAGGAGGTTGCTGGATAGCAGTGTGGTATAACCTGAAGAGACTGAAACACCCAACTAAAGCCAGAACACTGTGGTCAGGTTCCAGCTCTACCACCTAATCTTGGTCAAGTCATTTAATCTATGTGTGTGCCGTTTAATGAGAAAATGGGTAAAATAATGTGTGTCCATCTATTTTACAGAGTTCCTGTAAAAACGAAACAAAAATAGGAAAACACAGAAAACTAAACATTGCTGTAGCAATGTAAAAAACCTCTCACAGTGTTAATTAGAGTGATGGAGAGAGGAGAGAACTTTAGGGAAGGCAAGGAATGAATAGAAGAATGGCTGAGTGGCAGTGACAGTGCCAGCAGTTGGATGCTTTCAACCATTTTAAAAGTCTCCAGCATATTTAGTTCTTTGGTGGCGGAAACTAACAGATAAGATTAAGATTTCTGCAGTTAATATTTCCAGGGTTAAATAAAATTTTAAGTTCATGCTCTCGGTGTGGAAGAAACACAAACATCTGCTATCCAAAAAACAAGTTTCAAGTATTTTTTTAAGGCAAGTGATTCAAGTGAGATATAAAAATAGAAAGAAAATACATAGAAAGAAAATAGAAAGAAAACACGGCCTGGTTCTCGTCCTGTAGATTATACCACGGAGGGCGGAGGGAGAGGCGAAGCAGTAAACGAGAAGAGGTTTGGGGTGCTGGAAAGCCAGGAGAGGTTTGGGGTGCTAGAGCCTTACAGCTGCTTGTCTAAGCGCTCAGCAGCCTGGAGTCTCAGTAAAAACTACAACTCCCGGAAATCCCGGGCCCTGAGGGGGCGGGACCAACGGCGTGTGGGCGGGGCCTGCAAAGAGAGTCGGGCACTTCTCCCGCGAGGCGCTTCTCGAGAAATGGCGGGAGAGGTGGCTATGGAAGCGCAGGAGAAAGAGGCGCAGGTGATGGGGGCGGGAGCGGGACTTTGCGGTCTCCTAGAACCGGGTCTTTGACACGCCCGCCTCGCTGGCTGGTCTCCTGGGTGCGCCACGATTACTGTTTTCCTCACACTACTATGCTGGTCCATCTTTAGTGCCGCCTTCACGATCTGCGAGTCCCCCTCTGCTTAGAACGACTTGGGAAGGGCGTTTCCCTACCTTCCCCGGCCTTTCTTTGCTTGGAGTCGGATTGGGAGAGGTGTTGTGGAACCCCTTGCTACAAAATCCCTCCCCAAATACTGAAGCGGTACTGCTGACCCCAACCCCACCATTCAGCCGAGCCTCACCGTTCACTTTTTATTTCCTAACATCTGGTATCTGTCTCTTCAATGACAAGTTAGGATGTGAAGTCGGAAGCCAGAAGATTCACAGAAAGATTCGTTTGCTTCTCATCACTTTGTCGTATTTGCTTCGTGCCATTACAATATTTGTCTTCCTGTCAATGATTAGGTTGCTGCATGGCTGAAAAAAATATTTGGAGATCACCCCATTCCACAATACGAGGTGAATCCACGGACCACAGAGATTTTACATCACCTTTCAGAACGCAACAGAGTCCGGGACAGGGACGTCCACCTGGTAATAGAGGACTTGAAACAGAAAGCAAGTGAATATGAATCAGAAGGTGAGATTAATTACACAGTTTTGAATGAGATAATAACTAGAGGTAGCCAAATTTTATAACACTAAAATGTACAAGATTAATTTCGTGTAGAGTACTTATTGGTTTTGCTTTTTTATTTTACCCAGATTCGTCTTGATATCTTGTAGTAACTTAAAATATAAATTTCATTATAGTATGTATTTTATTGGTACTCAGGTAGCAAAACAGTAAACCTTGAAACATGAGTCTAAACTTACTAGCTTGATATAAAAGGTATCTGTGATGTTTCACTTCTGTATCTTTTTGGTCTGCTTCCAGTTCCCATGCTTTAGTTAAAATGAGCCATTGGGACACCTAGGGTGGCAGCTATGAACTGTGAGACTTGAACAAATAGCTCCATTGCTTTGTATTCATGGGACTGCATTAAAATTTTCTGATGTGCATATGTAGTTTGAAAAAGTTCATTTAAGACATCTGTCATTTTTATAATACAAACCACAAAAAAAAGATTTATAAAAATCTTTTTATAAGTGGGAATATACAAAAGAGAAGGGAAGTAAGACCTATATTTGCTCTCTATTTAACCATATGTATCACATACAACATTTTGAATGTAGTGTAATTTATATTTAATTCTTCTGTATACATGCTTTGTTCTCATTTCCTTTAAAAATTACAATACAGTAAAACTGACTTTTTGTTTTGGTGTACTGTTTTAACACATACAAATTCTGAAATCTACTTCCACAATCAGGATGCAGAACAGTTCTGTCACTCCCTAAAACTCCTCCTGTGATGCTCCTTTCTAGTCATACTCTTCAGTGCTTTTAAAATTGTTTTACTTTTAAATGATTTTATTTTTGTAGTTATTAAAATGTAGTATGGAAGAAGAAGCTTTGAGTCCAGAAAAATCTTATTTTCTAAGAGCTTTTTGTCTGTAATACTCTATAAGTAGGAAAAAAAAATCTAAGGATTTTCAAAATAAGATTATTTATGTCTGCCCTTAGGTGCCTTTTAGGATGACGTGTTAATTAGCAAATGTTTTTATTAATGTATACAAATTTTGACACAATTTTCCATATTTAAATATCTAGAACAATCCTACTTCCATTGATATTTGTTAACGCTGCATGTCATGGACTAACCATTAGACCTCTTTTCTAAGTTTTTCCTTCTTTGGACAGTGAAAGTATCCAGCAGAAAATAGAATTTGTGGGACCCTATAACAAGTATAGATTCATGTATACTATTAGGGAGGTTTTGCTTCCTCCATTTGTAACTCTAAATTCTAAGTAGTGATACCATAAAGTCATTTGGACTTAAATGACTTTTGAGCTCAAAATCATTTTTTAGATACAGTTTTCATTTCTGCAAAGTACAGTTCTTTGCAGTACATGAGGTTGGAACATTTTCAAAATATTTTCAGGAATTGGGAAAGGATGTAAAATTTTTGTATGAAGACTGTTTAATCATGACCAATACAGATGAAACTACTGAAACCATTCTTCATGTTGCCAGTTCTTCAGTTGAGGAGGAAAATGAAAAGATATTGCCCCAGCTCGAACCTCCAATAAAAAGTTGTATAGATGTGACAAGAAAGGGAATCCTTATCTTCGTGATCTTAGAGGGAAAGCATTCAGTCTTCACCATTAAGTATGTTGTTAGCTGTGGGTTTTTTCTAGATGTCCTTTATCAACTTAGGAAAGTTCCCCTCTCTTCCTAACTTGTTGAGTGCCTTTATCATGAAAGCGTGTTAGATTTCATCAAATGCTTTTTCTAGTTGAGATAATTGGGTGACTTGTTTTTATTCTATTGTTATGATGTATTACATTAATTGACATTCAGATGTTGAATCAGTGTTTTTTATTTTTTCCAGCTTTATTGAAGTATAATAGACAATTAGTTACTCATATTTACATTGTACAATTCAATGAGTTTTTATTAATTATAGTTGGCATACAATAATATACCAGTTTCAGTAGTATAGCATAGTGATCAGAGATCCACATAACAAAGTGATCACCCCACTAAATCTAGTACCCCTCTTCCCCCTTACATATTTGTTATAACATTGTTAACTATTTTCCTTATGCTACACTTTATATTTCCATGTCTATTTTGTAACTATCTATTTGTACTTCATAATCCCTTTGCCCTTTTTTGCCATCCCCCAAACCCTCTCCCATCTAGTAGCCCTCAAATTATTTTCTTTATCTATGAGTTTCTGTTGTTGTTGTTTATTTTGTTCTTTAGATTCCATATGTATGTGAAATCATGTGATATTTGTCTTTATCTGATTTATTTCATTCAGCTCAATACCATTTAGGTCCATCAAGGCAATATCTTTTTCCATCCCCTTCCTTTTAGTCTGTGAATGTCTTTTAATCTGAAGTGAGTCTTTTATAGACAACATATGTAGGGGTCTTGTTTTCTTATCCATTTAGCCACTCTTTCTTTTGGTTGGAGCACTTAATTCTTTTCCATTTGAGGTACTTGTTCATAAGAATGTACTTATTACCATTCTTTATTCATGTTTTTGATACATGTTTTTTCTTCTTAAAGATAAAGTCCCTCCAACTGATAAATTCCTTTAGCTTATTTTTGTCAGGGAAGCTCTTTATCTTTCAACTCTAAATGAAGACTTTGCTGGGTAAAGTATTCTTGGTTGTAGATCCTGGGTTTTCATCACGTTGAATATTTTTTGCCAAGCCCTTCTGTCTTGCATAGTTTCTTTTGAGAAATCAGCTACCAGTCTTAACGGGAGCTCCCTTGTATTTAACTATATGCTTTTCTCTTGCTGCTTTTAAGATTCTCTCTTTGTATTTAACCTTTGGCATTTTAATTATGATGTGCCATGGTGTAGGCCTCTTTGGGTTCATCTTTTTTGGTATTCTCTAAGCTTCCTGGGGTTGTATGTTTATTTCCTTCACCAGCTTAGGGAAATTTTCTATCATTATTTCTTCAAATAGCTCATATCTTGTTTTCCTTCTGGTATGCCGATGAGACAGATATTTTTACATTTAATAGTGTCCCACAGTCTCCTAAAATTATTTTTATAGTCTTTGCTTCTTTTTTCTTGCCATTCTAATTGAGTGTCCTTGGCTTCCCCATCCTCTACATCAGTGGTTTGATCCTCTTCTTCCTCCACTCTATTGATTCCTTCTAACATGCTCTTCATCTCAGATAATGTGCTCTTCATTTCTGACTGGTTCCCTTTTATAATTTTCATGTTCATTTTTATGTTTTTTATCTCTTTATTAAAGTTCTCACTGAATTCATCTACACTTCCCACTAAATTCATTGAGCAACTTTATAACCAGTGTTTTGAACTCCGCATCAATTGCTTGATTTCATTATTCCTGGATCTCTGTTCCATTCTCTCATATGGTTTCTGCTTTTTTATCTTCCCATTTTGACTGCTTTTCTATGTCTGTTTTTATGTACTAACCAAAGCTCTTAAGTCTCCCGGTCTTATTAGCGTGGCTTTGTATAGTAGGTGTCCAGTGGCACAGTCCTCTTGAGAGAGGTTCAGCTGCAGGCCAAGTTTAGCCCCAGCCTATGCCCGTCCGCGGCCATCTGTTAAGGTTCATCAAGCAATCCACAGATGCTGTGCTTACAGTTGCCTCAAGAGGCCACACCAGAAACCGCAGTTAGCTGCCACTAATGTGAGTCTAGGCTCTGCTCAGCAAGGAGCACTGGACTGTCACTAAGGCCACAACTGGATGTGGCTTGGGTAGGACCGCAAGTTGGGGGAGGTGGAGTTTCAGGGAATCCTCTGGGCAAAGCAACCTCTCTTATCCAGTTCAATGATGATGTCTCACTGTGGCAGTACTGAGTCAGCACACTGGGGTAAGGGGAGGGCTCAGCAGAGGAACAATGGATACCACCAGCACTTCTGCTCCAGAGAGAGGCTCGCCTCTGGCTCTCACTCAGACAACTCAGTGTCCCCCTGTAAGTCACTGGTGCCCTTCCACCCCCACCCCCAGCAGGGACACGGCCCCTTTAGGAGGCATCTCAGCTTCTGGCTGCTGCTGCAGTAGCCTCTGTCCCACTCAGCCACTGGGGACCAGGCAGCCTTAAGTCTTCACCCACTCCTACCTTCTACCATTGTAGGGTGATTTCTTATTTTTCTCCCTAGTTGTAGTGCTTTTGTTCATCTAGATCCCAGGTGACTTTGCTTGCTGTTTGCTCCATGTTTCTGTCACAACTTCGATTTGGTCACAAGAGTGATGAACAAAGCCTCTGTCACCTATGCCATTTTTTTCCCGAATCAATGTTTATTTTAAAGATAAATCCACATCCTCATGTTGTATAACTTTTTTATAGGTTGCTGGATTCAGTTTGCTACTATTTTGTGAATTTTTGAATTCATATTTATAAGAGATATTGGTCCATAGTTTTCTTTCCTTGTTATGTCTTTGTTTAGTTTAACTATCAAGATAATACTGACCTCATTGAAAGAGTTGAGAAGTTTTCCCTGCATTCTATATTTGGAAGAGTTGTCAAGAATTGGTATTAATTCTTCTTTATATATTTGATAGAATTCAGTGGTAAAGCCATCTGGGCCTGAGTTTTCTTTGAGTACTAATTCAGTCTCTTCACTTGTTATCGATCTATTCAGATTATCTATTTGTTCTTGAGTTAATTTCAGTAGTTTGTGTCCTTTTTGGAATTTGTCCATTTCGTCTAAGTTATCTAAATTGTTCTGTACAATTGTTCATAGTATTGCTTTATAATGCTTTTTATTATTTCGTTTCTGATTCTAGTAATTTGAATCTCTCTTTTCTTAATCTAGGTGAAGGTTTTTCAATTTTGTTTATATCAAAGAACAAGCTTTTGGTTTCATTGCTTTTTCTCTGTTGTTTTTTATTCTCAATTTCATTAATTTTCATTCTAATCTTTATTACTTCCTTCCTTTGGCTTAGTTTTAGTTTAGTCTGCTCTTTTCTCAGTGTTTTATAGTGGAATATTAGGCTATTGATTTGTGATCTTTTGTTCTTAATACAAGAATTACAACTATAAATTTCCCTCTGAGCACTGCTTTTGACACATCCCATAATTTTTGGTATGTTGTGTTTTCATTTTAATTCATCTTAAAGTATTTTCTAATTTCCTGATTTCTTCTTGACACATTGGTTATTAGGAATGTATTGTTTAATTCCACATATTTATATATAAGTTTTTTCCTAATTTCTAATTTCATTCCATTGTGATAGGAGAATACTTTGTATTATTTTGATCCTTTTAAATTTATTGAGGTTTGTTTTATGGTTTAACATAAAGCTATTTCCTGGAGAAAGTTCCATATCCACTTGAGAAGAATGTATATTCTGATGTTGTTTTGGAGTGTTTTTAGAGTGTCTGTTAGATTAGTTGGTTATACTGTTATTCAGGTATTCTGTTTCCTTATCGACTTTTCTACCTCGTCCATTTTTACCCGGATGTAACTCCATCATAAACTGAGGAGCATCTGTACTTGAGTATGTCCACAGCCACGCTGGGATGACAGTAGTTTTGGTAAGACTGTCTTCCTCTCTTTCATTGACCACACCTAACTGTAAAATTTTACTAATTGATAGCTAATTATTGTTTTCAACAATGCCTTGGGGACATATATTACTCTACAAGCTAATCCAATCTAATTCTAGCATCATTAAAAGAGTAGTTTCTGAGATTAGTGTTTGATATTTGTCCTGACCCAACAATGGCTCCTCCTAGATTTCTTTTCTGGTTCTTCCATGCAAACTAGGTGGCCTACAATTTAACCTATATCTTGACTGTCCTCCCAGTTGCCTTTTACTACAACTTTCGCTGTTCTTGTGGGTGTCCTTAGACTTGAACTTCTTCAGACTCTGTTGCCAATTAACTCAGTTCCTTTGGGAAGGTAACTGGAGCTGTTTTATGGCTTGCTTCTCCTCCAGACAAAAATCTCTGAGCCAGGGCTCTGGGGCAGGGAGTAGAGACGATGGCAAGGTTTTTCTCTGAGTGACACTCTCAATATAGATGCTAAGTGCTTGGGAGAGAGGGAGTACAGCAGCATTAGGTCCTCTTGGCTTTCCTTTCCTGGTATGGAACTACCACCTTATGAGCTGGTCCAAGGGCCATCGAGGCCCAGTATTCTCAGTGTGCCTCACCCAAGGTAGAGCTTTCATTCCAAAAGCAGTGGCTGGGTAGAGGAAGAGAGCCCACACCTCTTGACCACATTCGCCTAGGACTTCATCTTAGCAACAGAGAGCTGGTGGCAGGATGAGAAACATTGAAGTCCTTTTCCTCTTGTCAAGGAAGAGTCCTCTATCTGGGAGCCGGGGGCAGAGGGAGCCTTGTGATCTCGACTGCAATAATTGAGTTGAGTTTCTGTCTCACTGAGCTGGGAGGGAGGAGGAGAGAGTAGTCTTGGTTCAAATACCGCACTCTTACTGTCAATGAATTTTCATAGATTTTATTGAATAGATGTTTCTTTATTTCCTGTTTGTCTAGAGCTTCAAATTGTGGTGTTTTGTTTCATTTTACAATTTTCACCAGTTTTGCTGGAGAGCAGGTCCACAGAGCTCCTCGTGCTATTAGGCTGGAAGTCAAACTCTTGGTCATTTGATTTTTCACAAGGGTGACAAGATAATTCAGTGGAGGAAAGAATAGTCTTTTCAATGAATAGTGCTGGGATAATTGGATATCCACATATAAAAGAATGAAGCAGGACTCTGCCTCACACCATACATAAGGATTAACTCAAAATGAATGAAAAAAAAAGAACATCGTTAAGTAAATGAAAAGACAACCCACAGAATGGGAGACAGTATTTGCAAATCATATATCTGATAAGGGACTTGTACTTACAACATATAAAGAACTCTTGCATCTCGATAATAAAAACATAAATAACCCAATTAAAAATGGGTAAAGGATATGAATAAACATTTCTCCCAAGAAGATACCCAAATGGCCAGTAAGCATGTCATCATTAGCCATTAGGACAATACAAATCAAAACTACAACTCTACTTCACACCTACAAGAAGGGCTATCATCAAAAAGACAGATATTCAGGTCTTAAGTTATCATTTCATTGATCATTATTCAGTTCTACAAATGGTCACTAAACAACAAAAAAAGACAAATAATAACAACTGTTGGTGAAGATGTGGAGAAGTTGGAACCTGTACACTACCGGTGAACATGTGAAATCATACAGTCACTTTTGAAAACAGTCTCACAATTCCTCAAACAGTTAAATACAGAGTTACCACAAGACCAGTAGTTCCACTCCTAGATATATCCCCGAGAGAAATGAAAGCATATATGCATATCAAACCCTATACACGAATGTTTACAGCAACATTTTTCACAATAGCCAAAATGTAGAAGCAACCTAAATGTCCATCAATAGATGAATGGATAAATAAAATGGAGATAGATCTATCCAATGGAATAACATTCAGCCATAAAAGGTAATGAAGTACTGATGTCTGCTACAGCATGGGTTAACCTTGAAACCATTATGCTAAATAAGAGAATCCAGTCACAAAGGACCACGTATTGTACGATACCATTTATATGAAATGTCCATAACAGGCAAATGAATAGAGACAGAATGTAGATTAGTGGTTGCTAGGGCTTCTTGGATTGGGGAATCAGAAAAAGATGACTAAAGATTATGGGGTTTCTTTTTGGGGTGATGAAAATGTTCTAAAATTGATTGCATTGATTGGTGCATCTCTCTGAATATACTAAAAGCCATTGAATTACATACTTTAGGGAGGGTGGATTGTATGATATGTGAAAGATTTCAATTAAGCTATTAAAAATTAAAATAAACATCTTAGTCATTATAGAACTCTCATATCTTTTCAGCCAAGCATCTTCAAGACCTTCTCATGGAGAGCGTGAATTTTTCGCCTGCCAATCTCTCTAGCACTGGTTCTAACTATCTGAATGCTTTGGCTGACAGTGCGGTGGCCCTCGAAACAAAGGATACCTCACTAGCTAGGTAATTCTTGTGACAGATTTAATTTCTGCAATCATATGCTATAAAGTCTTGACCTCAAGACTTTTTCTCAGGGTAATTCTGTGTAGGAAATTAATAGTAAATGCCAAAGCACTGAATTTAATTAACTATCATTGCTAGTGAGTATTTATAATTACTTCAGAAAAACTTAGTATTGGGTAAATTTTAGTGGGTTTTTTTTTTCCCCCCTAGGATTAGGTTTGTGAAGCTTGGTTCTCATGTATATTTGGAAAGGGAGAAGGTATCACTTACATTGTTCCCTATAAGAATACAATAAGAAAAGCAGTAGACTAAATCATCCGGTTAAGCATAGTGACTTTTGGTTGTGTCCCTACAATATTGGGTAGAGTAGGTTAAGGACCTTTATTCTTTGTGACAAGCATTTCACTTGCATAATAACATTATTCTTCCATAACCCTAGGAGGAAAGTTCTTAACTAACCCTCTTTTTTATAATTATAAGAGTTGAGATTCAAACCCAATCTGAATCTAAAGTTCATATGACTATCACTGGTGGCCCTATCTTAACTAGGATTACCACTACAACTTATAATCAGAGAACTGTACAGTGTTCTGCTTCATTGCCAATATAAGGGCTTGGAATTTATATTTATATCTGGATATATCTATATGTCTATATAGATATATATATAGGTAATATATATATAGATATATATAGATATATATATGCTCAAGAGTAGTGTTTCAGGTATAAGAACACGTAGGCTGTATAGCAGCAGACATCTAGACTTAAGTCAGTTCAGCAGACACCAAATACCAGTTATATGCTAGGCAATATATATTTATATATTTATATATACAAGGTACTGGGGAAGCAGGGATGAATAGGATAATAACTCCAGGATGGGAGCAAATCATATTTGAGTTTTGAAGGACAAATGGAAATTTACCAGCTGAAGAAGGGCTTTCCAGGAATGGGAACAGCATGTACAGAGTGCATAGAGGTATGAAACAGGGTGGTTATGGAAGAATCTACATAGAGTTAAAGTTAGTTAGAAGTGAAGAATAATTGTTATTATTATCCTTAATGTCCATTTATGTGACCAGATTCTTTTTTTAGTTTTATCCCTGCAGTGAATGATTTGACCTCTGATCTTTTTCGTACCAAATCCAAAAATGAAGAAATCAAGCTCGAATTGGCAAAACTGGAAAAAAATCTAACTGCAACTTTAGTATTAGAAAAATGTCTACGAGAGTAAGTAATTGAGTTGCAAATGGTAACAATTTTTATTATAAAGGCAGTAATAGGACATTGTTGGATTTAGTTTCTAAATCAATAGTTATGATTAAAACAACATTTAAAAATGAGTCCCTAAAATGTTTTTTAAGTAGAAAATGACATAGGTGGAGGTGGTGGGGGGGGGGAGTCGGGTACTAACTTTCAATTTTTATACAAATTCTTACCTTTATTCCTCTTTTTTACAAATAACCTGGGTTTTATAATTTTCAAAATGTATGTGAATTTTATTTTTCTTACTTATAAATTACAGTGTAACTTAAAGTACATTATATCTTGTTGCCCTTTCTTACTAGAGCTCTGGCATCTTTCTCGATCCTCTGGACCTCCTTTAGGCCCCTATTGCCCTAGAGATTAGATGCTGTGGATCAGGAGTATGTATATACACAAGTAATTTGTTGGCGTATAAATTTATTCAACAAATACTGAGTATGTATGTGCAAGGCACTGTGTCACATCACATTTAAGAGAGAGGCCTTTAGGATCTCCGTAATTCAAATTGGCTTTAGGATATATTAAATTACCTTTTTGAGCAGCAGATTTACTTTTTCCAGGAATAATTGGCATAGATTAATCTTAAAATTATTCAATATTCTTTGAGAAAAATCCCACGTAGCAACATGGAGGGGAAGATGACCTGGGAGCTAGTCTAGGATATAAATTTGTGGTAGAAAATCAAGCAAGTGTGTTTGTTGTCTACTCTTGGCTAATCTAGAGTTGAATCCAAAAAGTAGTAGCGTTTCTTTTTGATAATAATTTCACTGAGGAGAAGAAAATGTTTTCAACTTTACTTTTTAAAGGGATCTCAAGAAGGCAGAGTTGCATCTGTCTACAGAAAGGGCCAAAGTTGACAACCGTCTTCAGAATATGGACTTCCTAAAAGCCAAGTCAGAAGAGTTCAGATGTGGGATCAGAGCTGCAGAGGTACATGTGAAGAACCAAATATAGTTAGCTCTCTTCAGACTTCTTTTTGACCTTCATCTTCACAACTAGACAGCATTAGTATTCCCTTTTTACAGATAGAGGAGCTACAGAGAAGACAGGTAACTTGCCCAAGGTTAAGTAGCTGCTTAGCAGCCAGTACAGCTTTAAACGCAGACAGCCAGACTCTGAAGCCCAGGCTCTGAAGCACTGCACCTTCTTTTCACAAACCCGTGACTACGGAAACAATTCGTGTGCAATGTAAAAGTGCTTAGATGCATGTGTTGCTTTTCATCTGAGATTTGTAGCATCTCTTTACTGGGTTATATGTTGAAAATATTTCATGATGGTCACTTTGAAAATAATCTTCTTAACTGAACCCCCTTTTGTGTAATTGTAGGAGAAACTTTCAGCCAGAGGCATGGATACGTCTCTGTCTCATCAGTCACTAGTAGCACTTTCAGAGGTGAGCTTATTTTAACCCAATTTAACTTTCTTTAAAATCTGCTTTTTCATTGCTTTTTATAGAGCTTTATTCACTATTGACCTGATTCTTTTCTCTTTATTCCTGTACCATATGTTCACCAGTATTGATAACTTTATTCCTTGTTAGCTGTATATATCCCCACATTTGTTTGGTTTCTTTTATTTATTACTATATGCTAGAAACTCTTTACTAGTCAGTTATACAATATTGATTTATTTATTCAATTTATTGAGGGACTATGTACTAACCATCTAGGTCTTTCTCTTTCGGTGTTCAGTAATAACGCAGGCCCCCAAACTCCTGTAGAGTGCATTTCTGGGTTTTTAGGTTATATAAGGGTTATATTTGTTTTGGTGATTATATAAGGGTTACGTCTGTTTTGGTGAGAGAAGAAGTAATAGGGGGTTTTGTTTTATTATTAAGGCTTTTTTTTTGTACTTTGATTTTTGAAATCTAAAGTTCACAATTCACAAATATGTATTTGAGACTCTAGTTATTCTCTTACATTTCAATTCCTCTTAATCACATTATTTTGTATTCCTAGACAACACATTTAAATCTTATCCGTAATAAATGGGAGTTTAACTTTCCCATTTTAAGTATCTTAAAAGGATTGATTCCATTGGAAGTGAGTTTGGCTATTTATCTTCGAAGCTCTTTATTTGATATGTTATTTAAAATATCCTAATGTTAATGCTTTGCTGTGTTTTATTTCAGAAATGGTCACTATTTAGTTGCATTGTGAATAACTCTATTACTCTGTAACTGTTTTTTTCACTCCCAGAAATTGGCAGAACTAAAACGACAGACTATACCTTTGAAGAAAAAATTGGAGTCTTATTTAGATTTAATGCCGGTAATTATTTTTATGAATTAAAAAATAAGTCATCTCCTCCAGCCTTCCCTACGGGCACTGAATGATCGTGAAAGTAGTAAGTCCATGCTTAAGGATTTAAAATCTAAGCTGAATTTCATGGGGTATACTCCCTGTAAGGTTTTTTGCCTTTTGAAAAGGATTGTTGCATTTTTTCACTTTGAGTCCTAATTGAAACAATATAACCTTTCTTTATTTTGTTTTTCTTTAAAAGAATCCATCTCTTGCTCAGGTGAAAATTGAAGAAGCAAAGCGAGAATTAGTAAGTACCTTTTTTTTTTTCAGGTTTTAAAAAAAGAAATAAAATAAATGTCGATATAGCTCAAGCTCCCTTCATCCTTCTTATCTTCCTCCTTAGAGGTAAACCATAGTCCCAAAGACTCTGTGTATCGTTCCTGTGCATCTTTTAATAGTTTCTTGACATGTGTGTATATATATTTTCCATAAAAAATAGATAGTTGTCTTTTATGTCTTTTAAATTTTTGTTTAGATTTTCCTGAGTGAGAAGGGAGAGGGTTGTGAGACATAGAATATTCTAGGCAAAAGGAATTAGCAGATGCACAGGAGCTGAAAAATAAAGGTAAGCTTCGGCAGGTAATGAGGTCCAGCTGCCTAGGAGTATGCAATGGAAGATAGGACTAAAGAAAGTCAATTGGTTTATGATGTAGAGGGCCTTTAAGACAAAGAGAAGGGAGTGTGTAGGGAGCTACTGAAAGTTCCTGTGTGTTTCCTTGTTTTTTAAGCCAAAGAGAACTGTGGTCAAAGCTATGCTTTCTGATCATGTCAGTTCTTTAGGAAGATGATTCTGTAATGAGTGTACAGGGTGGATTGGAGGAAGGATAAAGAAAATTGGCGAAACCAGTTGACCTATGTAAGCCAGGTAAGAAGTGATGAGAACAGTGGCCATGAAAATGGAAGAGAGGTGATCTGAGAGGTGTAACGGGAGTACATTGTTTAAGGAGTAAAGGGCATACAAATCTAGTCATGTACCATTACACTAATTCATTTTTTTAAACTGTTTTTCCTTCTTTAGATGTTTATTAGAATCAAGAGTCTGAAAACCCTTAGGGTTTGGGAAAAGGGAGACATATAGCAGCAAGGGAATATTTAATATTTGTAATGTTTTTTTTTTAATTTCTTTTTTGCTTATTTTAAATAACAGTAGAAGTGAGAGCACCTGTTTTATGTCCTTCTTTATAGCATTTCAGATTATTTCTTTCTTCTTCTAGGATACCATTGAAGCTGAACTTACAAAAAAAGTAGATATGATGGAACTGTGACCAGAGCCAAATAAACTTTGTCTTCCCTAACAGAGTAAATTAAATAGGACTTTAAAGAATTGTTTCCTGTTGGCATTTCTTAATAATTTAATTTCTGTGTTCTTAGATGAGATAATGTCATTATTGATAGGGTAGTGGTTTCTGGTTGTGTGTTTCATTTTTATGCCGAAATACATAGTTTTCATATTTAAAAATGTTAGTTTTCTATATTGCTGGTGGTTAAGTGTCCTTCAGGAGTTCTGTTATGACAGTTGTCATGCAGTCACTTGTTAAAAGGAAAGGTTCTATAACTCCAGTTATGTTACATTTCTCCTACTCTTCCTTGTTCAAGGGTCTGCTGTCATTCTTTCTGATCAGCTCACCTGTCTACTTCCAAATGTTAATATATGCAGGAATAGTTTATGGAAAAGATGACCTTTTAAATCAGTAGTAGAGAGAGAACGGTGGCAGCAGCCGTGCCTCTGGCAGCTCTAGACAGAGTGCAGGAGTCACTATGATCCTTCAGAGGCTCTTCAGATTCTCCTCTACCATTCAGTCTGCAATTTCAGTCCATTTGAGGAGGAATATTGCTGTTAAAGCAGTGGCATTTAGTAAAGAACTTGATCCTGTACAGAATCTCTTTGTGGACAAGATTAGAGAATACAGAACTAAGTGACAGTCGTCTGGAGGACCTGTGATACTGGCCCAGAATATTAGCAAGAGTTTGGGAGGAAGCTTTTTAAGCTTAAGCAAATGTATGATAAAGCAGACATAAATGTGATTCCTGACTTCAAATTTGAAGACCCCAAATTTGAAGTCACTGTAAAACCCCAGTCCTGAAGACATAATGTAAAATTTATCTGGTAATTTGTTCTAGATAAGTTGTTCAACTGATCAGAAGTATCAGAATAAAATGTAAGGAGGTCCTTACATTTCACAACTGTCAAAAAAAAAAATCAGTAGTAGAGAGATGGATAATTCAACACATGGTGTTAAATCCAGACCACACACCTTATGTCAGGATAGTTTCAAAGGATCAAAGATTTAAATATTTAATTTAAAAAAAAGATAATACAAGAAATCAGGGAGGAATTTTAATGTTTTGATTTTTAAATAATTATAGTCAGAAACGTATCATCAAAATCCAGAAACCATAAATGACATGATTGAAACATTTGAAAATTTTGAAATATTAAAAATTCCTGCATGGTACAATATTTTATAAGTAAAAAAGGAAATTTTTCACTGTGTATATTTTTATACTTCAAAAAATTTTATACCATGTGATTAAGAAGCAGGCATTTTTTTAAAGAATATCTAAATGACCTTAAAAATTTCCCTCCTCTTGGGGGTGGGGAATAAAAATATAAAATGTTAAAAAAAAATTTCCCTCTCCATTTCCACAAATACGTGGTTAAATATAATACAAAATACAAAAGACATTATTTCCTTTTTTTGAAACTGTCTGTTCTTTAACCATTTAGATATTGCAGTTTGGTCTTTTTCTTAATTTATAGGAGGTCCTTACATATTAGCTAAATTAATCTTTTGTGATTTGAGTTACAAATATTTTTCTAGGTTTGTCATTTGTCTTTTGACTTAATTGCAGGGCTTTTGGTAAGGCAGCTTGGTAGATTTCTTGTGGAAATGACCACAATAATTCCTCCCATCTTTATGCACTCACCATTTGCAGCTTGACTCTGCCACTTCTCTCATCAAGAGATGGAGTCTCTACCTCCACCTCTTGTATCTGGTGTGGCCCTATGATTTGTTTCAGCCAGTGAGACAATAGCAAATGTGACAAAAGCAGAGGATTAAAACCTTGTGCATTGAAACTTGCCCTTTCTTACTGCTCTGGAATTCTGAGACCATCATGTGAAGAAGCCTAGGCAAGTCTACTGGAGGATGAGAAACTATATGGAGCAGAGACAAGTAATTGCAGCTGAGCCTTGCCCCCACCCCAAGACCAATCAGGCTGCCTACTGCCAGATATGTAAAGGAGGACTTCTTGGACCATCCAGCCCCAGCTGAGTCACCAGCAGACTTCAGAGATAAATCAAGCCTAGGCCAGGATTGCATAGAGTTAAACTGTAGAATTATAAGAAATAATAAACAGTTATTTGAAGCTTATTTTAAGTTTTGGACTAGTTATTATCTGCAGTAGCTAACTGATAAAAAGTAACTTTAGAAATTAATGTTCAAGGAAAAATGTAAGAAATATACAAAATAAGAAAAAAGAAACATGAGACCAGCAGAATTTTATAAAACAGTAATTATATTAAATGTAAGTGAGAAGGTGTTTTAGTTAAAAGACAAAGATTGAAATATTATGTTTTTAAAAAACTTGCAAGTATATAGTGTACATGAGAGAAATATCTTAAAAGTAAGGATGGATGGACCCACGATCATGGTAGATAGATTACATACTTCTCTCAGTAATTGATAGAACAGGCAGAAAAGAATCAGCAGGTATACAGAATATTTAAATGCGACAATTAACAAACTTGGTCTAATGGATATATTAAAAAATCCTATACCAGATTGCCATAGGATACATATTTTTTCCCAAGGGCATTCAGAACATTTATAAAAATTGTCCAAATAGTGAGCAGTAAGAAATCCACTGCAAACAGCCTGAAAGCATACACAGCATGTTCTTTCACCACAGTGCAATCAAATAAAAATAAATGAAAAAAATGTATATTTGGAATTTGAGAAATACATTCTAAATAACCTGTGAATCAAAGAAATTATATGAATCTAAAAATATTTAGAACTGAATAATGAAAATTCTATGTATCAAACGTGGATTTCTGCTTTTGGCCATAATGGAGTCAAAGTGATCAAATTGACTGTATTGCTTTAAACAGAAAAACAAAAAATGAGTAACTATGGTCTTCAGATGTTGAATATCGAAGAAGCACAGGAAATTAATCCTTAAGAAAAGAGAAAGAAACAAAGTGAGCCCTGTGACTGCCCCAGCTTACTGCATGGAGAGAATTTCTAGTCTGCAGCTCAGGAAGGGATAACCCAAAGAATCTGGTGATGGCGTCTAGTTGAGAGATGAGAATTTGGAGAAACCAAAGTAAAATGTGAGAGAGAAAATGCTGAAGAACTCTGGAGACCTGAAGAGGTGATTCCTCAAGTCTGGCTGAACTATTGACTTGCACATACATATGAGAAGACCACCTGAAGCCAGTGAAAGAACCACTGTAATATTGGAACATGTAAAGGGTTGGGACTATTTCATGTTCCTGTGAGCCAGAGTGTAACCACTTTCCACTACAGAGAACACTGAGTAGTGTCTTCAGAAAGATATTTGCCTTAGCTGTGGTGCCAGATTTCATGTTTTTCAGTTTCATGGCTGTATTCCAATAAAATTTATTTACAAAAACAGATGGCAAGCTGGATTTGGCTCACAGGCAGCAATTTGCCAATTCCTGTCCTACAATAGCTACAAAACAAAAACAGGTGTAGCTAATAAGCTGATAGTGGAGATTAAATGGAATTATATAAAATGCTCAGTTCAAAGAAGTCAAGAAATGAAAAAAGGAATTAAGAAAAAGTGAGAAATAGAAACAAGTTGGTGTATTTACACACAACCATATCACAACCATAGACCCTAGGGTGGGCCTAGGATTCATATCAAAAACATTAAATAGTTTAAACACTAATTAAAAGTCAAAGACTGTCAACTTGAATAAAAAATCAAGACTCAGTTAAATGCTGTCTACAGGCACCTCACTTTAAAGATACAGATAAAAGTAAAATCATGGAAAAAATATACAATGTAAACAATAATCAAAAGTTTACATTAATATCTAGATAGATGTCAGAACAGGATTATTACCAGGAATAAATATAGATATTTCATAACGATAAGAATATCAAGACCATCCAATGGGGAAAGAACAATCTTAACAAATGGTGCTAAGAAAACTAGATATCCGCAAGCTAAAAAAGAGTAAAGTTGGATCTTTACCTCACACTACATATGAATGTTAAAATGAATCAAAGTCCTCAATGTAAAACTATAAAACTGTTAGAAGATAAATATTCATGATCTTAGATATAACACCAAAAGCACAGGCAGCAGAAGAAAAAAATAGATAAATTGGGCTTCATGATAATTAAAAACTTTAGTGTTTCAAAGGACATCATAAGAAAGTGAATAGACAATTCACAGAATGGGGGAAAATATTTGCAAATCATATATCAGATAAGGGACTTGTATCTAGAATCTATAAAAACACTTTTAACCCAATAAAAAATAACCCAATTTAAAGATGGGTGAAGATTTGAGTAGACATTTTCCCAGTGAAGATATACAGATGCCCAATAAGCTTATGAAAAGATGCTTGACATTATTGGTTTTTACAACAATAAAAATCAAAAACATGATACTACCTCATACCCAGTAAGATAACTAGAATAAAAGAGAGAGAATAATAAATTTTGGTGAGGTTGTGAGAAAATTGGAATGTAAAATGGTACAGTTGCTTTGGAGTATAGTTTAGTGGGATCTCAAGTGATTAAACGTGGGGTTACCATATGATCCAGCAATTCAACTCTTTGGTATATACCCAAGAGAAATGAAAACATGGTCCACACAAAAACTTAAACATGAATGTTCACAGCAGCATTATTCATAACAACCCAAATGTCCATCAAGTGATGAATAGATAAATAAAATGTAGCGTATCTACACAATGGAATATTACTCAGCCGTAAAAAGGAATGAAATACTAATACACGCTTTAACTTGGATGAATTTTGAAATCATTATGCTAAGTAAAAGAAGCCAGTCACAAAAGATCATGTATTATAGGATTCCATTCATATGAAATGTCCGGAAATGCATACGGATAGAAAGTAAATTGATGGTTGCTTAGGGCTGCAAGGATGAAGGA